CGCTGTAAAGGGGTTGATTACCCAGTCAAAGTCTGTGAAGACCAGGTGGTGATTGCAGAGGTGGTTTACAAACAATGCAAATGTTATAGTGTTCAGCCCCAACCAGAAAATTCAATTTCAAATAGTGTGGAACAAGAACAAGAGCAGCAGTCTGTTGTGGGGAACAAGAAGGGTGAAGATGAGGCTGATATGGAGGGCCACGTTGGAGGTGTGCTGGACAGTAGAGGTGTAGAGGAAGAAGGGGGGTCAATGGTAAAACATGATGACCATATAGCTACTAATGGGCGAGATAGGGTGCTAAGTGTGTCTAGGGTGGAGGAGACTATCATGTCTACACGTCAGTCAGACTGTTTGTAGAAGCAACTTGGAGGTGAAGGCAAAGCATGCGAGGCTCAGCCAACCAACTCATTGCAAAATCCTAGTCCAGTTCAAAATGAAGGTAATCAGAATAGTGCAGATGAAATTGTTACACCGGGCTTCATGAGGAGTCTTAGTGGGCCATAAAAGGATGTTCCTGGACTCAATTTAGAGGTATTGTTGAGTAAGGCCCATGTCATAGAGTGTGGCAACACTGTGGGTCATAGATCATCTGAGTTAAGTGACCCAATGGATCAGCCAACACAGGTGGATTTAGGACAAACTAGCATGGGAAAGGAAATCCAAGTCAGAGGGGATAAGGAGTCTTACGATGGAACAAATTGCAACTCTGCAGTGGTGGATCATAAGAGGAAAAACATCATTAAAGAGAAACCAAGTGGGATGGCGAAATACCAGAGAAAGAAGAAAGGGAACTTACAACTTGGGGTTGATTCAGTTCTGAATTTCAGGAAAGGGGCTATATTCAGGTCGGCAGCTGCAGCTATTTCTTTGTCCATGGCAAGCAAATCGGGTTCGGGACAATTGCTCCTAAACGAGGCAGAAGCATCTTTGCAGATTGGGAAGTTACTTGGGCTGAAATGCAAAGGTAAGGAGGAGGAAGTGCTCAGTAAATTGATGGAACTGGAAGCTAAGGATAAGGAGGTGCTGGGTAAAAGGGGTACCAAGGCAGATTAACTGTATCTGCTATGGAGTATTGGAGTGTAATCTTTATGTTTTAATGCAGATTTTATCTTGGAACATTAGAGGGCTAGGCAAGTCCATTAAAAGGAGAAAAATTAAAAAATTATTATTTGAAAGGAAGGTAGATGTGGCACTATTTCAAGAAACAAAGAGACCTGGTATCACTGAGGAGTTTGTCAGATCTTGTTGGCCTGGCGATCAGATGGCATATATGGCTGTGGATTCAGAGGGTGCAGCTGGTGGTCTACTGTGTGTTTGGAATCCACAAGTATTTTAACTCCTGGACTGCTGCAGTAATAGAAATTTTATAATTCTGTCAGGTACTCTTTTTTCTAGTCTAGCCTGTGTTATTGTTAATGTATATGGCCCAACTGATGGTGCTAGCAAGAAAGGGCTATGGGAAACTCTGAAAAATTTAAAGAAAAGTTTTGTTACTCCTTGGTGCTTGGGGGGTGATTTCAATGAGGTTAGATATGCTTCTGAGAGGGCGGGTTGTTCTCATAGGAGTGGAGGTATGAAGGACTTTAATGAGTTCATTGATAGTATAGAAGTGTGTGACTTACCAATGTTGGGGAGAAAGTTCACTTGGTGTAATTCACAGGAAGGTGCCAAATGGAGTAGGTTGGACAGGTTTTTTCTCAGCCCAGATTGGTTGCAAAAATTTAATTTGAAATTATGGGGTTTACCAAGAAGGCTCTCGGATCATAGTCCCATTTTACTGATGGAAGATGAGAGAGATTGGGGCCCAAAGCCTTTTAGGTTTCTAAATGCCTGGACCCTTCATCCGAATTTTAAAATTTTTGTGCAGAAAGTTTGGGGTGAATCTCATATTAATGGTTGGGCTGGATTCAAATGTGTAAGAAAACTGAGTTCACTTAAATCAGCATTGAAAAGTTGGAACCTTGAGGTTTTTGGTAAGGTGGATTTTAAACTTAAGCAAGTGGAGGAGGAGATACATGACTTGGATTTGGTAGCTGAACAGAGGTCACTTACTAAGGCAGAGAGATCTAGGCTTAGGGAGGTAAAAGGTGAAGCATGGAACTTGAGCAAAATGGTAGAATGGTTATGGTTACAGAAGTCGAGAGCCAACTGGTTGCTAAAAGGGGATAGAAATACCAAATTTTTCCATATCATGACATCCACAAAAAGGAATAGGAATACATTGTGCTCTATTGAGGTCAATGGGGCCTTGAAAGAAGATCCGGAGGAAATAAGATTTGAAGTGCTGAATCATTTTCAGAGGCAGTTTGAAGAGTCATGGTTTGACAGACCATGTTTATCCGGTCCTTTTAAATCTATTGGGGATGAAGTGGTGCGGGTTGCTTTGGAAGCTGAGTTCTCAGAATCTGAAGTAGTGGCAGCTATTAACAATTGTGATGGGAACAACTCCCCTGGGCCTGATGGTTTTAACCTTATGATGTTCCAGAAGTGTTGGCAAATAATTAAAGGGGATGTGATGCAATTCATGAGAGAGTTCCATACTAACTCTAAGTTGGCTCTTGGTATTAATAGTTCTTTTGCAGCTTTGCTTCTGAAGAATGAAAATCCTTCTTCTCTCAGTGATTTCAGGCCCATCAGTCTCATTGGATCGTTGTACAAAGTGTTATCCAAAGTTTTATCTACTCGACTTAAAATAATACTACCAAAGATCATCAGTGAAGCTCAATCTGCGTTTATAGGGGGGAGAAGTATTCTGGATGGTATCCTGATTGCTAACGAGATTGTTGATGGTTGGAAAAAGAAGCACAAGAAAGGCATTATTCTAAAGCTTGATTTCGAGAAAGCATATGATTCAATTAATTGGGGGTTTCTCTTTTCCATGTTATCAAATTTTGGGTTTGGCTCAAAATGGATCAAATGGATGAAGGAGTGTGTCTCAACTGCTAAAGTCTCTATCCTGGTAAATGGATCACCTACAGCTGAGTTTAGTCCCCAAAGGGGGCTCAGACAAGGAGATCCTCTATTCCCTTTTCTCTTCAATATTGTAGCTGAGGGCCTTAACATTTTGTTTCATAGAGCTGTCCAGGCTGGATTGTTAAAGGGTGCTTCAGTTGGTTCAAATGGGCTCACTATTACTCACTTACAATTTGCTGATGACACAATTTTGTTTTGTAAGGCAAAAAGGGAGGAGGTGTTGAGTATTAAAAGAATTTTGAGGTGTTTTGAAATTTTGTCTGGGTTAAAGATTAATTACCATAAGAGCGTGGTGTGTGGGATTGGAATTAACGAAGAGCTCACCAAAGATTTTGCTTCCATCCTCAACTGCTTGCATCATAGGTTACCTTTGAAGTACCTTGGGATGCCATTGGGTGCTAATCCTAGGAGAAAAAGGACTTGGCAACCTGTCATTGATAAATACAAGTTAAAACTAGCTTCTTAGAAGCGAAGATATCTGTCTTTCGCTGGTCGGTTGACGATGATTAAGTCTGTGCTATCTTCTCTACCAGTTTTTTATCTATCTTTGTTTAGAATGCCTGAAGGAGTAGCCAAGGAGATTGATAGGATTCAGTCTAGATTTCTTTGGGGGGGTGATGAAATTATAAGGAAAATTCACATGGTAAAATGGGAGGACATCACCCAAAGTAAAAGTACTGGGGGCCTTGGCATCAGAAAGGTGAGAACCATGAATGAATGTCTCCTTCTCAAATGGTGGTGGAGATTTGGGTGTGAATCTGCTGCTCTTTGGAAACAAGTAATTCTCAGCAAATACCCACAGTTAGGTGGGTCTCGGTGGCCAGTTCAAGAGGTTAATTCCAGATGGTCTATGGTGTGCAGGGATATATTGGGGGTAGCTGTTAAGTGCCCTGAATTACTGGAATTTTTCAAAGCTAACTCAAGGATCAGTATTGGGGATGGGAGGCTCACAAAATTTTGGATGGATCTGTGGCTTGGTAGCGACTGTTTAAAAAATCTATTTCCTCGACTATTCTCTGTGTCTATGCATAAAGGGGAATCACTGGCAGTGGTTAAGAGTAGGAGCACTGAAAATGAGGATTGGGGGTTGGTTTTCAGAAGAGGTCTGTTCCAATGGGAATTGGATGACCTGAGGAGGTTGAAGGAGCTGTTGTGCACTGCCCCAGAGCTTAGGAATGGCATGGCTGATGGGTTATTTTGGACTGCAGATAAGTCTGGAATTTTCACTGTTGACTCTGTCTATAAGTGGTGTGAATTATCCCCTACTCTGCCTGCAAATTTGGAGGATCTCATATGGAGGAATGCTGCCCCTCCGAAAGTGCAATTTCTGGGGTGGTTAGTATGGAAAGGGAGGATTAAGACCACTAGTTATTTCCAAAGGATTAGAGCAATCAGTGCTAATTCTGATGTTAGTTGTAAATTCTGCAGGAATGAATTAGAGACTGCCACTCATGTGCTACTGTGCTGTCATTTTAGCTGGCGAGTTTGGTCCAATATCATTGGCTGGTGGGGTGTATCTTGGGTGCAACCGGGATCACTGACTGGTCTGTTTCAGTGGTGGTCTGGATTTAGATGTAAAAACAGACTGAAGGTACTCTGGAAGATACTACCTTTGGCTGTGTTTTGGTCTCTATGGAAGCAGAGAAGTGAAATCACTTTTGGTGACTCACATGTGGACTTTGAAAAGCTATGTGAACTTATTAAAACACAGATCGCATTGTGGTTCAGAGCGTATGGCCCTTCTTTCTGTTATTCCGTGAATGATTTAGTGTTAAATTTGCAAAGTGTCAAGTTCTGCATTATGCATTGAGGGTGAATGCTGACTGGCTGATTTGCTGGAAATTTCCCTTATTCTGAATTCTGAATTCTGTGCTGCTTCTGAATTTCTGCAGTTTGATTCTTGCTGGAATTTTGCAGTTTCATTCTGCTTCTGGGCTGGATTGTGCAGAGGAGGAAGATTCAAATTATGGTGCTATTTGTTTCAGATGGCAGCTGGGGGTTGTAGTTCTAATTGAGTAATTAGGTGTATGCTGGTTCTGATATTTGATGGACACAATGGGTCTGCTGCTGCTATATACTCCAAGCAAAATCTCTTGAATAATGTTTTGGCTGCTATCCCATCAGATCTCAACAGAGATGAGTGGGTTGAAGCATTGGTTTCAATTTTGAAGCATCTCAAGGAAAATCTGCTCCATCTGTTCTGTTTTGGTGCTCCAAATGGGTTGGTGCAGGGCCTGATCTGATTAGTGCCTTTTTGAGTGCTGTGATGTCTGTTCTGGTTTTGGTGATTTAGTGACTAAGCTATCTGGTTTTTCTGGTTTTTTTCTCTGTTTTGTTTGCTCGTTGGTTTCTCACCAACTAGGAGGTTGGAGCTTGTTTTAGCTCCAAGCTCCTCTTTATTGATGTAATTTTCCTTTTTCATCAATAAAGTCTTTTTTTTGCCGATCAAAAAAAAAGTGCTTAGTTTTGTCTTAATTTTTAATCTATGACTTTTCTCATTCAGACTGAAAGAGGTGTTCCACTTGGGTGTAACTGCTGGTGCTTATATTCTTACACTCTTTGCTGTGAGTTTGCAAAAATCAGCTGCTCTTTTCCTTATTATTATAGTTTGTGTTTTTATTCTTCATTACATTTATTTGTTTTCTGGCCCTATATTTGCAGATGAAATATAGAGAACGTGTACGTGGGTTGATCCTTGTTTCCCTTGTATGCAAAGCACCTTTGTGGACTGAATGGCTTTATAGCAAGGTTATAATTCCTATCATCAATGAACACTTGTAAAATGTTCAATTTTCTATTATACATAATGTTAACTAGGCTATTTTGTGCATCTCACAATGCAAGCATTAATTACAAACAAATCCTACAAATGTCACAATCCAAGTGCATGGCGAATGGATTTCCACTCCCAGGCATTTTGGATTTGGAGAATTCTTACATTTCCACGGCCATCGGAGAAGTGGGCATAAGATAACTTTGTTTTTGCAGGTATTACTTGTTATATTTCTATGGAATGTGTGGTTTATTAAAGGAATGCCTTCTCCATCGCTACTTCAGTAAGGTAAGTCATATCACCTTAATTTGTGGCTTACTTTCCGATTTGGTGAACTTAATAATAATCCTAGAATTCCTACCAGGAGCTTAGGTCTAGCATGAATGGTGCAGAATCAGATGTAATACAAGCTTGTCGAAGGGTAAGCTAAAATCAGCTATAACGTAATATGATTTCTTATTGTTTTCTGTCTGAAAGAGTATCTAATGGCTTTAGTTTCTAGGTCGTAAAAATGACTAAAAATCATATTTTCAACAGTTGCACAGAAGGGGTATTTTCTTCTTACCATTTTCCTTCTTCCATTTGTTTGAGGGAGGGAGGGATGAGAGTCCATTTGATTGATGTGACTATTCAATTTGTAATATTTTGCCACTCTAAAGGTGGGTTTTTTAGTTACCTTGATCTATATTTGGTTCATGAACTAGTTGGATTTGCTTGGCGCAGTGATAAGGTTGCTCCACATGTGACTTGGGTGTCATGGTAAACAACCTCCCTATGGGCAGGGTAAGGCTGCGTACATCAAACTCTTCCCCAAACCCTATCGACTCTTCCCCAAACCTTGTAATGACAGGAGCCTTGTGCACTGGGCTTTCCCCCCTTATGTATTTATTTATTTTAACCCAGTTGAATTTGTTGAAAGATGATACCTGCTTGGTTTGGTATTCATAACACATTCAAATGTTATATATATTTGCATGATCCATCTTTTATTTTACATCTAAAAACAGGCAACCTTTTAATTCTTCTCTATTGCATCCTAGTCGATTTTGAGGTGCTTACAAACTGAAACAGACCTTCATCATTTTTTCGTGTGTACAGTTACTAGACGAAAGGCAAAGTTTGAATGTCATGCGCTTTCTTCAAGCAATGAATAAGTAACTTCTTGCACCTATACTATATTTGCATTTGTTCAGTTCATCATATTGTTCTTTGCAATGTTTGTGCATAAAGCAATTCTGCCCTAGATTTTTCCTTTCTTTTGGAACACATTTTGTTCTCCTACTTAGAAAGAATTGACTGTCTGGCAGGACTACTCATTTTTCTTATATATTATTTAGTACCATGTTTGTTTGACATAATATGCTTATAGTCTGATTAATTTGTTGAGGAACCCATCCATGGTGAGTGATTGATCAAGTCTAAAAATTATACACAAATATTCTGATATAATCTTTTTCTTAGTGGTTTGATTTGATCAAGTCTAACAACTATACACCAATAAAAAAATTTTAAATTCGATAACTTCTTTCCCTCTAAAAACCTCCCCTTTTTCTCTCTCTAAAACCTCCTTCCCAGGCCTCATTTTGGGGCCGGCCGGCCGCCGCCTTTGGCTATGGAGGTCGGCTGGCCCAGTTCTTTTAGTGTGGTTGTTGTTAGTGTTCCGTTTAATAAACTTGATTCCCCCATTATTTTCCCACCGATGCTGCACGAGCTGCCGTAGTTCTTGCTTGGTTTTTTGGGTGTTTTGGTGAACGTTTTGGTTGATTCACCAGGTCGACAAAGAGGACGATCCAGATCTGGTTAGGATGTTCATTCGGTCGCTTCTTTGCGCGTGGAAGTTTGAGGGGTGTTCTCCGTTCAAAGCTATGGAGGAGTTTCAGTGTTTTGGATGATCCGGATCTGTGTAAGATTTCATTCGAGCGCTTCTATGTGTATGGGAGTTTGAGGGGTGAACGCCGTCCAGATGTGTGGTGGTATCTCAGCGGTTGTTTAATTAGGAGGTGTTCGGCGTTGGGTCGTCAATATAGGGACGGTGGAGTAGTACCTGCAGTGGGTCTTGTTGTCATGAGTGTTGATCGGCCTTGGGTGTGTTTAGAGTTTTGAACCACCGCGTAGGAGAGGTGTGGCCTTGGGTGTTGTCCGTGGGTGTAGTTGGGTGTTGGCTGTGTGTTGTCTGGCGTGGGCCTTCGCTGGGCAGTGGGAGCGAAGCAGCATGTGGCCACGGTGATGTTGGAGATGTCAGGCATGGGAGTTCTTCCAGCCATGGTGATGTTGGCTATGGAGTTTTCCGGCCAGAGAAGCGTGGTGAAAAGATTTAGCAGGTGGGCGTTGGGAGGTGTAGAGGATCGTGGTGTAAAGATTTAGCAGTAGTAGCAGGTGAGCGTTGGGCTTTGGGAGTTGTTAGGCTGGGTGTGCAGCAGGTGGGCGGTAAAGATATGAAGCAGTATAGGTGTTGGGAGTTGAAGCAGTATAGGAAAAGCTTTGATGGAGTAAAGAGTTCAAACCGTAATAAGAGCCAATTCAATAATGTGGGCAGGCAATTCCTGCCTCTTGCAAGCCAATCAATGGGCCTAATTGCTCGTGTGGGAGTGTAGCACAGGTGAATATCCTCAGAGGAGCGTGCAGAACAGGTGGAAAGCACAGGTGTGGGCGTGTAGCATAGGTGGGTGCTGGGTGTTGTCAGGCGTGGGTGTGTAGTAGGTAGGCGTTGGGAGTTGAGGCAGCACAGGTGGAAAGCTTTAGTTTGAAAAATAGCAAGTGGGCGGGAATGCTTTGGTTTTTGGTGTTGGGTTTTGATTTGGCTTGGTTTTTGTGGGCAGATTTTATGGGGTTTCTTGTATTTTATTTTATAGTTAAGTCCTTCTTAACTTTTTTTTTTTTTTTTTGTTTAAAAAAATCGTGAGGTCGAGGGGTTGGTTGTGTGGATGCAAGTAGCAGTAGTAGGGGTAATTTGTACTTTCCGAATCTCTCTCGATGCATGCCATCTTCCTGTACCTTTAATTTCATGTTGTTAATGAAATTTTTACTTTGCTGATCAAAAAAATAACTTGGAGAGGGCCCCAAGGGGCACCCTAATTTTGCCTGTAATATTTATACTATATTATATGAATTTAGCAGAGAGAGCTGAAAGTGAGTTTTATGAGTTTTCTATTGGCTAGTAATTGCTATTTTCCTTTCTTTTGTGTTTTTGTGTTTTTTTTTAACTAATAAACCCCTATGAGTTGATTACAAAGTTTATATACAGGAGGCATGACCTTACAGAGGGCTTAAAGAAGCTACCATGCAAAACACTCATTTTTGTGGACGATTGCAGTCCATTCCATACTGAATCAGTGTATATGAATGCTATGATAGAAAAAAAGATATGCACTCTTGTTGAGGTTGGTCTTTCTCCTCACTTTTGATTTTCTCTCAATTAGTGTGATACATTTTTTTTTTGTGAATTTCACCTTGCTCATGCTCATCACAGTAGCAACTAAACTTACCTAGCAAGCTCATGTTTTTTTCTCCCTCGTTAAGTACCCAAATACCACATAAAATATATATTGTCAACTATCTAAATGGTACAGGATTCTAAGACCAAATGTTCAAATTCTTGGACAAGAAACATACGGCTGAGTAAGGAATCCTTGAAATCCGTAATCCGATCCAGTCCAGTCCAATCCAGTAGGTTTGGATTGGTTTTTTGAATCCGTGGTTCGGTTCCGGATTGAAAAATTAAAAATCCGTAGTTCACGGATTGGTTCCGGATTGAATCCCACAGTTCCGGATTGGAACCAATCCAGACCGTATACAAATAGTCTATATTTTTATTATACACCCTCCTGCATAGTATCTTCTCTTATTTCATATAAAACTTAAATCCAAACCTAAACTTGCATAGTATATTCTGTTATTACTTTTGTTTGCTAGTTTTTAGTGTTAATTTGTAATGGTCTAAATACTTATGGTGGAACTAGTTTCTTTATACTTGTTTAAATTCTAGAACAGTTTGTCGCTATTATGAAAAGACATGTTACTATTGTGAAACTAATATGGTGCTATATTTATATTTTATGAAAATAAAGTGTTATATATATATTTTTGTTATTTAATTATATAAATTTGTGGTCCTAAACCGATCCAATCCGTATTTAAATGGATTGGTTCGGATTGGTTCCACGATTTAAACGGATTAGATTGGTTCTAATTTTTCAGGATCCGTAGATAACAGATTGGTCCTGGTTTTACTCCAATCCGGTCCAATCTGGACCATACTCACCCCTAGAAACATTCCCTATAAGATATGTTTGGACTAATGTCCAAAACCTACCTACAAAGTTGAAACTCCAAGTGAATGTAATTCAAGAAACGGTTAGCAACTTTAGTACAACATTAGTTACCCATATTGCCTTGGATCATTAGGAATAAGTTTGTAGCTTTGAATAATTGATAATACATTGTGGGATGATTTTATTTATTTATATTTTATTTTTTGTCTATAACAGGTTCAGTCATGTGGCTCGCTAGTGACAGAAGAACACCCATACGCAATGTTGATTCCCATTGAATTCTTTTTAATGGGGTTTGGCTTATACAGGCAACAACTACCTTTATCTGCAGCATCAAGTAATGGATCAAACCCTGCCAAACTTGTCTTGTTAGCTTTTGATAAAACTCTCTTTATAATGAACTATATTTTGTATTGAATTTTTTATCACTTATTGATTCATATATCTTGCCCATAGGCTTACATTCTTTTATATAGAGAAGGTTATACATAAGTTCAATGAATAAGATCCATGAACCTAAAAAACCTTGTAATTAATTAGGTACATGAATATAATCTAGACAATGTACTTAATAAATATAAAATACATGAATATAAAAATACATGAATACAAAGAATGTATGAACTCAATGTATCCAATGCATGCAATGTATCCAATGTATCTAATGTAAATATGGCATTAATTTTAACACTCCCCTTTAATGCCATATCGTGTGACACCCAACATTTCTCTAAAAAATTCAAATTTGTCCCTTGGTAGAGCTTTGGTGAAGATGTCCGCAACTTGATCTTCAGTCTTGCAATACTTGATTTGAATCTCATCATCTTCCACAACTTCTCTAATAAAATGATGTTTGATAGCAATGTGTTTGGTACGAGAATGGTAGACAGGATTTTTTGCCATAGCAATAGCAGACTTATTCTCACACATAATTGAAGTAGCTTCACCTTGTTTGTCACCAAAATCATCCAAAATTCTTCTCAGCCAAATTGCTTGTGTAGTTGCCAATGATGCTGAAATATATTCGGCTTTAGCAGATGATTGTGCCATAGTTTGTTGTTTCTTGGATAACCATGAAATTACACCCGATCCAAGAGAAAATGCATACCCAGAAGTGCTTCTCATATCATCAACAAATCCGGCCCAATCACTATCACAAAATCCAATTAACTTTGCATCAAGAAATTTATCATAAAAAATTCCATAATCAAGTGTACCTTGAATGTTTCTCAACACTCTTTTTGCAATCCCAAAATGAATTTGGCTTGGACTGTGCATGAACCGAGACAATAAACTTGTAGCATACATGATGTCCGGTCTTGTAGCAGTTAAGTACAACAAACTTCCAACCAAACTTCTATAACAAGATGCTTCAGCTTCTTTGCTTCCATCTTCCTTTGACAACTTTTCATTCACATGAATTTCATCTTCCATTGCTTTCTTCCGTGCTTCATCTTTAATTGCCGCTTCAAAATTTTCAAGTTCAACAATGCATAAATTGCATCTTGCATAATTCTTCATTTTAAATTTCTCAAGAAGTGTTTGAGCATACTTCTTTTGGCAAATAAAAACACCACCATTGTTTTGGTGGATTTCAATGCCTAAAAAATGATGCAATAGCCCCAAATCACTCATTTCATATTTCTTCATCATCTCCCTTTTAAAATCTCCAATCAAGTTTTCATCACTACCGGTAAAAACCAAATCATCAACATAAAGTGAAACAATGAGAATACCGGTTGTACCTCACTTCTTGATGTACAAAGTTGGCTCACTTTTGCTTCTTTGAAAACCCTTTTCATTGAAGTAAGTATCAATTTCACTATACCATGCCCGGGGTGCTTGCTTTAGGCCATATAAAGCCATCTTCAACTTGTACACTTTATCTTCTTTGCCTTTGACAACAAAGCCTTGAGGTTGATCAACATACACTTCTTCTTCTAATTTCCCATTCAAAAATGCTGACTTTACATCAAGTTGGTGCAAGAACCAACCTTTTTGAGCCCCCAAAGCAATGATAGCTCTAATTGTATCAAGTCGAGCCACAGGAGCAAAAGTTTCTTGGAAATCAATTCCAGGTTGTTGTGAATACCCTTTTGCCACAAGTCTTGCTTTGTTCTTTTGAATAGAGCCATCCGGATTGAACTTTGTTTTGAAAATCCACTTCACACCAATTATTTATTTTTCTTTCGGTTTCTCCACTAACTCCCAAGTCTTGTTCTTCTCAATCACATGAATTTCATCTTCCATTGCTTTCTTCCATGCTTCATCTTTAATTGCCTCTTCAAAATTTTCAGGTTCAACAATGCATAAATTGCATCTTGCATACACATCACTAAGACTCCTAATATTTCTTGGAGTTGAACTTGGAGATAAAGAACTTGAACTTTAACTTGAACTTGGAGAAGATTGTGAACTAGCAATTGGTGACAATCTTTGTGGAGATTCAAGAGTTGCAACATCTTCAACTTGTAGACTTTCCGATTCTTCATTGAAAGCGATGCTTTGATCTTGGACTTTCTTTTCCTTCCAATTAAAAGACGCCTTCTCATCAAAGAGAACATCTCTACAAATAATCACCTTCTTTTGATCCAAACTGAAGAGTCTATAGCCTTTGGATTTCGAGCTATAGCCCACAAAGATGCATTTCTTACTATTTTCATCAAGCTTGTGCCTCACTTCTTTTGGAACATGAGCATAACAAATGGAACCAAACACCTTCAAGTGATTCACCAATGGTTTCCTTCCACTCCAAGCTTCAAATGGAGTTTTGTCCTTAAGAGCTTTTGTAGGACATCTATTCATCAAGTAAACTGCTGTATACACGGCCTCACCCCAAAAAGTTTTGGGTAGCCCCTTCTCATGTAGCATAGACTTGGACATCTCCTCTATGGTTCTATTCTTTCTTTCCGCACACCATTTTGTTGTGGAGTGTACCCAACAGTCAATTGCCTTTCCATTCCAATATCTTCACAAAATTTCATAAACTCATTTGAGTTGTATTCTCTGCCTCTATCACTTCTCAATACTTTCATCAAACAACCACTTTGTCTTTCAACAAGATTTTGAAATTTCTTGAATATAGAGAAAACTTCACTCTTTTGTCTCATGAAATACACCCAAGTCATTCTAGTAAAATCATCAACAAAGATAATAAAGTATTTGTTACCTCCATGAGTTGGTGTATCCATAGGTCCGCACACATTGGTATGGACAAGCTCCAATGGTGCTTTAGCTCTCCATGCTTTCTCCTTTGGAAATGACTCACGGTGATGCTTTCCAAGTGCACAACCTTCACAAATATGTTGCACTTCATGAATGGTTGGCAACCCAAAAACCATACTATTTTGTTGTAGATGCTTCAAGCTTTGAAAATTCAAGTGCCCAAATCTTCTATGCCAAAGCCATGAATTATCAATCACATCCATCTTCAAAGCCGCATTTTTGCTATACCGAAAAATGAGAGGAAAACTTCTATTCTTCTCCATATTGATTTTTGCTACAACTTGGCTTTTCTCCCCTTTGTCAAAAATTTTGCAAAAATCGTCTTCAAAGTGAATAAGGTATCCATGCTCCATAAGTTGTCCAACACTTAGCAAATTTTGCTCCAAGTCTGGAACTAAGAGAACATCGGAAATGAATCTTGTACCCATCTTGGTTTCTATAGAAATAGTACATTTTCCTTTTGTTTGGACTAAGGCACCATTCCCCATTTTTACTTGAGGACTGGAGGAAGCATCCATTTTTACAAAAATGCTTTCATCTCCTGTCATGTGATTGCTACATCCGCTATGTAGAAACCATACATCCTTGGTTTGATCCGATGCCTTGTGACAAGCATAGAACATGTGCCCTTCACTTTCTTGCTCCTCAGAAAAATTAGCTTGTTGAGTGCTCTTGACTAGGCAATCCTTCTTGACATGCCCAAATTTGTTGCAATTGTAACATTTTGGCTTTCCTCGAAACCAACAATCTTTATCAACATGATTGTTTCGGTTGCAAATTCCACACTTTTGTTTAGTGGACTCTTCATTTTCCTTTCTTTGAAAATTAGACCTTCCTCTTCCTCTTGCATTTCTTACTCTTCCGGTTGCATTTCTTCCTCCTCCTCTTCCTCTTCCTTGGAAAATAGAGGTACTAACATTAAGCTTGGATTGAAAGGCACTTTCAATTGACTTTTCAGATTGCCTACTCAGCCTTTGCTCAAATGCTTTAATTGAACCCATCAATTCTTCAATACTCAAATCAGCAAGATCTTTAGTTTCTTTAATGACAGCAACAATGGGATTGTGTTTCTCCGGCAAACTTATCAAAATTTTCTCAACAACTCTTTGATTAGTAATATTATCCCCATAAATTTTCATTTGGTTTACAAGTTCCATAACCCTAGAAAAATAATCCTTCAACAATTCCATATCCTTCATCTTTAAATTTTCAAAATCTCTTTTCAATGACTGAAGTTTGATGGTTCTTACCTTCAAGTTGTCTCTATACTCTTTCTGAAGAATATCCCATGCCTCCTTCGCTTTTGTTGCATTGATAATTCTTGGAAATATTACTTCTGAAACTCCTTGTTGAATAAAAGAGAGAGCCTTTGAATCCTTCTTCCTTTGCTCTTTTAATTGGTTCTTTTGGGGATTTGTCAAAGCTGCTTCATCTTCAAGTTCCTCGAACCTATTCTCAACAAGATCCCAAAGCTCCGTATAGACAAAAATAGTTCTCATTTTCACATACCAAAAATCAAAATTTTCACCATTAAAGATAGGAGTGGATACATTTTGGTTGTTGGGATTCGCCATGGACGTCGGTTTGTTCTTCGGGGCTTGTTTTCCCGTATCTGATCTCTACGCCCAGCTTGCTCTTGACCCAACCAAAGCTCTGATACCACTTCTTATGTTAGCTTTTTATAAAACTCTTTTTAGAATGAACTATATTTTGTATTGAATTTTATCACTTCTTGATTCATATATCTTGCCCATAGGCTTACATCCTTTTATATAGAGAAGGTTATACATAAGTTCAATGAATAAGATCCATGAACCTAAACAACCTTGTAATTAATTAGGTACATGAATATAATCTAGACAATGTACTTAATAAATATAAAATACATAAATATAAAAATACATGAATACAAAGAATGTATGAACTCAATGTATCCAATGCATGCAATGTATCCAATGTATCTAATGTAAATATGGCATTAATTTTAACAGGTTCTAGGTGGTAATGGAATAAGTGATGGTGGTGGTGGTCCGATAGTGCTGACAGTGGTGGAAAAGCTTTGCGGAAATGGTGATGGAGTTGATGAAGTGAAGAAGAGATGAAGATGAACGGAGGAATGAGAGATAGTGATGACGAAGCTCACATAGTGGTGGGTTGGTGTTGAAAGGAGGTGGTGATTCTGATGCTCACGGTGGTGGTGGTGAAGTCGGTGGTTATCGATGTTTGATGAGGTAAAGATGTATGTATATGTGTGTGTATATATATATATATAGAGAGAGAGAGGTATGCAGGTATAGATGTGCATTATGTGTACCTTGTTGGCACCAACAATTCAAATTCTCTATTGACAAGCATGTCAAAGAACATAGGCATGAGCAATAAGGGTCCAAGAATCGTAGACATGAAGATAGTCGCCTAAAAAGGAAGATTATGGGCACAACACGCGGCAATTCCAAAGGAAAAGGAAGTTTTTAGTAGTTGCAGCAATTATGGATCATGGGCAAATTGAAGACATTAGAAGATGCACACGTGGCTGTTTAACATGGCCAGTGAAGCAACATA